TTTTTAACTATTTGATGTTCCCTAGTTCTCTGACTGCCATTGTTTTCTTACTGTGGAACTTTGCACATGTTGTTCCTTTTAGTTGAGATACAGTGTTTCCCTCCACCTTATCTGTAGGTATGTACACCCACACCCACACCCACACCCACACACACACACAGTATCCTTTGCTCCCACAGTAACTGAGGTGCGACTGAATTGTGTTACGATGTGTGTCCTTTGGTTCGACTGAGCTCCATGAGACCGTGAGTTCAGGATCTGCTTTCCTTTTTTCCATTTGGAGCAGCTTCCCCAATGCCTGACTCACAGCAGGCATCCAAAGCAGTTGAATGATGCAGCCTTGGCTAAATTGACGGGTTTGTATTTTTATGAGATTTGACTTCTCAGAAGAATACATGTGAAGAATACATCAGCCTGGCAGATTCAGCAGCTAGAGCTGCCTGGATGGTCAGAAACTGCCAACACGCCTGAAACTGTAGGACTGCTGAGTGACTTGCAGCTGTACCACTTCTTGATTGAGCTGGAAAGCAGAAATAGTTGGTGCTGAGCATTATTTTTGTGAGACTTAAGAGGCTACAGTGGAAATAAATGGGTTAGTGCAAGTACAGTTATATCAGCTTGTCTCTGTTAGGTAGAATAAGGGGCCAGGCTGAGGCAAGGGGTTGGGCAGTAAGAGGAATTCAGTGTTAGAGGAGGAGGGATCAGAATCCTAACAATGTCATACAGCCACACTATGCATATGAATTTCTTGCTGCTGCTAAAGGTCTCATTTGCCTCCTCTAGATTTCATCTGAATTACTTAACTAAAGGTGCTGGTAGTAGTTTTTAAATGAGATCGTGATGTATAATAAGTGCCCAATAACTGTTATCCTTGTCTGTTTAAGGGATAATGAAGAGATAAGACTGTGAGATGGTCTCACAAAGGCTGTACCCTCCTTGTTCACTATTGTCTAGTATTTCCATGTAAATGGGAAACTAATTAACACATTTGTTGAGTTACTTAATGAGGTTATCAAGGCAGTGTTTCTAGAGGTCTTTGAATATTGTTATTTCTCCCTAGATCTTTTTGCTGAAGCCACTTAGGTTCTGTTTCATGAAACTTGAACTCTAAATTTGCAGAAAATACCTTGTGCTGCTTTGAATTATATCAAGGAAACATTCAAATGATGTCATTAGTAGGGCTGCTGTACAAAGGAGCTGATATTTTTTCAGCATTTGAATTCCCAAAGAATGCCAGCAATACATGGAGAGGTGAAGTTTCTATCTGAACATTTATTCCACAGTCATAGAAACTGAAGATGGAAAAGACCTGAGGACTTGTAGTCCATCCACGTGGTTGTACAAGAAAAGTGGCTGGAGCAAAGCAGCCTGGTTACTTCATGCCCACAAGACAGCATTTCAGTTCTTGGAGCGGAGCGCTTGCAAACACACGAGAATGAAGACACAATGCAAATACTCTTCACAAGCCTTAAGAAAATATTCAGAAATACATTATTTTCATAAAATTGTTAGTGATTAAAAGAAAAGAGGGAATCTTGGATTGGATGGATGGGTTAGACAAGTGAGTTTAGGAATAAATAAACCAGGGGAAGTGGTATTACCACAAAGCAATTTCTTCTGAAGACTAGGTTTTCTAGCTTGCTTGTCAGAATGTGACATGGGTGGAAAAGAGGCTCAAAAGTAGTTTCTTTTGCTTCATTCTCTATACCAAGGAAGTGCGAAACTTGCTCCCCAGCTCTGGTGGACCCAGATGGTATAGCTGTTTTGCTTGGTTCTTGCTCCACTTTCCACTCCCTGGGCAGGCTGTGTAGGAAGCTGCAACTCCCTTAAAATGTTTGTGCAGCAGCAAGATTCCTGACCGGAGTCCCCTCTAGGAACATTGAAAACCTACCTGATAGGGTGCCTGTGCTGTCACACTTGGCTATCCCAGTCTCTCTTCCCACCTGTTTTTATCTGTTGAAGCAATCTCCTTTCTTTTCTGTTTGTGGCATATATACTTTGCAACCCTTATTTATGCAAACTGAGTAGCCTTGTATGTTCCACCTTACTTGGTCTTCCTGTGGTAGGAGACTGTCATATTGCAAGTTTCCCAATACCAGAGTGTAAAAGTGAATGGAGACCTTGTCCTCATGAAGTGGGAGCCCACCAGAGGAGGGACAAGAGCACCCTTAGCTCTCTACCAAAATATAACCTCCACATGATTTTTTCTTTTTTGAACCTAAGGAGGGGAGTTGAGAGAACTGAGGAGGAGCTGAACAGAAAGGTTTTCAGGGATCCACCCTTTCATTAAATCTTTTTACAAAACACAACACACTGTTTCACAAATTGCAAAACACTGTTCAAGTACTACCATGGGGGAGGGGGGACATTGCTACTGAATGTGAAGACTGCTTCATTTCACTACAAGCAATTATGGTTTTTCTTCATCCAGGATGTGGACGTATTTCTGCAATACTTGAAATTAGCATTAACCCTGCCTTCAGCCCCTGCTGCTTCTGGCTGCATCTTGGACACTGTTTTGGCTGAGTAGTTCCTCAGCAGATACTTGAGGAGCATGCACTGGTCTTCAACTCTGTGGATAGGCAGGGCCGTCTGGCATCTGATAACCACAGTTCAGAATGCCTCTGTGGAGAAGCTTAAGGTAAACCCGATATACAAAAATCCAAACTTACAAAACAGGTACATTAAGGGATAATTAATTGCATTACAAAAGGGATCTATACTTTACAAAAAATTTCACCTCTGGATTCCCTTAGCTAGCTTCTCAAGTACAGTCAGAATATGAATTGAGTTACAAAAATGTCCATGTACAACAGTAGGAGCATGGCTGTAACGGGAGTTGAGGCACACCTGTTTCAACCTTCTGTGCTGTGCAGACATCCAGGGTGCTTGGCGTAGTGGCAGAGTCTTGGGTTGCAGACGGGTGGTGTCAGGGTCACTCTTCCACAGGCAGCTGTACATCTACTTTGGGGCCTGGGATGAGAACATGGGAGGACAGTGTTTCTCAAAGTGAAGTGTCCTTTTTTGTTGTTGTTGTTTTTTAGGGTTCAGTTGTTTCCCTCATTGTAAACTGTTTGATCTGTGAGGTTGATGAAGCTTAATCCTTTGTCAGTGTCCAAGTTTACCTTCACTCCTGGTTTTTCCTAGCCAATTAACTAATTGCTAGGGTGTCATCTAAAGCTTAAGGTATTGTTTCTCTGGGTAACTCTGGGTAGAAATGAAGACATTGCATTCAGAAGTTAGGAAACATACTTTGTGATTGGGACACCTTTCTAATGATCTGCATGTTGGCTGGCTCAGTGATATGAACTCACTGTAGATGTTTTCAAAATGACTGAGTAGAAATGAGTATTGAGGGAATAAAACAGTAATTGATAAACAAGGAAATTTAGTCCTAAATGGTGTCCTGGGGCCATGGTGGAGGTTTAGAAAGTGAATCAGCAGATATGTGCTACAGTTTTAAAATATTTTCTCCTATCTCCACTATGGAACCCACCACCCCCATATCTTCCTCATATCGGCCAGTGCTTGGGGGCAGCCAGATTTCCAGAGCAGTGTTTCTCCAGGAGTGATCTTAGGATGATGCCCTGTGTGTGTCACAGGTTATGTGCATCAGCTATGTTTCTGACCCTCCACCAGATCTGTGTCTCTTCTAATCTCTGTGGAAGGGTCCTAGCAATCTGTACTCTGAGATGTTCCTTATGTGACTCTCAAGTATGCTAACCTTTGGGAGCTGAAGTTCTTGAGTTTCTAGCATTCCTTTCTCCATGCCCAAGCAGTTGTACTTTGGGAAAGGGTTTGCTAGACAGAGTGGAAGTTGGGTTACTTATACCATTCATTTGTAGGCATTAGGTGGGACCTGGAGGATGAAAGGAGCCAAAACCTATACATAGCTCCTCAGAGATGAGTGGGTGTGAGGGTGGGAGAGTGCATTGGTGACTACTGTACAGGTAGAAAAAGCTCAGGGCAGACTCCTGAATGTTGGAACTTGTGATGTTCATAGGCTCCTTTCCCTTTTTGGGATCGTATGACTGATAAATAGGTGACTGTTGATCTGAAAATGCCCTACTGTGTGGCATGCAGAATACTTAACCCATAGTGCAGCCCACCTACCCTACTCTAGGCAATAAGCAGGAATGTTCCAGCTTCATCCTGTGGTCACAACCTCACTTTGCGTTTCTCTTTTTTTGTTTCCTTTATAAAAGGCACACACTATCCTGGAGATACTTAGCTAGATTGGAAGTGTAGTCCTATTCATTCCTTAGCCTATTTGTCTTTCTGGCTCCAAAATTGTGGGGATGCATTTGTAATGTCTCATCTGCCTATTATTCTCTGTTCCCAGGCACCACTTTCCTGTCTTCTTTCATAGTGGTGTGTAAATATATTCCGTTAGTCAGAATAGGCCAGAGATCCAGTTTTTTAATGAATGTCCCTCTTGCCTGATCCAATCAGCCCTTCTCTGCAATGATTTTGAGTTCAATTAATTTTAAGTATCCTTACTCCTCCCTCCCCCAAGTTTCTCTAGCTGTTATCCTGCTTCTCACTCAGAATGTAGAACAAATCTGTATTGAGGAATTGTGTTCATAACTCTGGACCATCCTATTCTATATTAAGATTAGTACCAAGAATTTATTAAAACATAGGTATGAATAACAATTTCATCTTTTGTTAATAGTGCAGAGAAAGGGCTAAAACCCAGAATGTTACTGTGGCACCTGGTGAAAAAAATAACAGGAGCTTGGATTGCCTAGATGTTCACAGATACCTTACTTGGAGTTTACTTCTGACCAACTTCAGACTCCTGCTATGAAAAAAGATTCCTACCCTGGAGACCTGGGGGTGGTGAGCTTGGGAATTGCTGCTGCATGGGATGCTGGGGGAGCAGACTTAAAGACCTTAGCTTCCCCACACTTTCGTCAGTCGGTAAAAATAGCATTACACAGTATCTCAAGGGCTCAGGAATGCCAGGAGCTGTGAAGAACAGGAAGCATTATGATTGCTTAGGACTCACAAGTCCGGTTTGTCCTTTGATATTCCTCCAGCTCCGTTTTCCTGCTCACAGCCAATTGCAGCTCCTGGCGGATCACTTGAATCTGCTTCTCAAGCTCTGAGAGTTCCTGCATCACTGAGTTCCGGGCTAGGTTGAGGGAGTCCGCTTTCCCATTGGTGGTCACCGTGGCTGGGAGCTCTCTCCTCCTTGGTGGGAGTGGGATATCTTGGTGGGCTTGGATACCCAGCTGGTTTGATTCTCCTTCGTCACTGAAAATGTATTTGCGTTGATTGTCATGACTCAAGTTGGAAGTATTCCATACCATGAGCTGGCGGGGTCCTATGTTGGTCCTAGAAAACAATGAGTTTGGATTCATATTCCATTTTGCAGCTCTCAAAGTGCCTTTCTCTACCTGTTGGCCACCTTTTGCAGGGGCAGTACACAACTGGACTTGGATTTAGAGAGGAGGTCAGTAAACCACAGACAGATTGCCTCCTAGAGTGACATGGGGACAATAGAAGCCCTGGACTCTGAACCTAAGTCAAGTCTTATGCTACTGTGAAACAGGGATTAGTGTCATCTGATAAAACGGCTCTGGCACCTTCTTTTGAGAGGAACCTTAGAAGCTTTTTTTATTCCCTTCCTTTAGGGAAAGCTTAGAAAGCAGTACTGCCTTGAAATATCTTTTAGCTGTGAAGATGATGCTTTAGTAAGAGTGAAAAATAGGTTTATTCAGATATTGTACTCTTAGTATCAGCCTGCTGTTGGACATTACTATACATGGCTCATGTTTATTTCTACTAAGCCTTGCTGATGCTCACTATTTGATTTTTGAAAGAACAAAAGTATGTAAGCCATACGTTTCAGCAAAGTGATTTTAGTATAGGAATAACTTTATGTGGATTGAAAATAACAAGTCAGGTCTAATGTTTAAATCCCCTCAGTCCCCAAAGTCCACAGGTTCTTGGGGTAATGAAAATCAAACATAAACGTTCTTGTAATCCTCTTTCAGGCATACATTGTACCACCTACTGCCATCATGGAGAAGTGGCTATGAACACAAAGTCATTGCCACATAGGTACTGGATGCATTGACTTTTTTTCTGAAATACACTTTGCAAAATGGGTGCAAAGTGGTCTAATCTTTTATTCCTCCTTTCAACCATGTACCTGTGCAATGTGACTGTGCTGCTTATTTCTATCAGAGTGCAGAACCTACTTATTCTCCCCTTCAATGAAGTCTGGTCTCATACTGTTTTTGAACAATTGAAAAGTTGGAAGTTTCAAGCCTAAGCTTTTAAGAAGCATTACACTGTGCCATGCTCTCTCCTATCCCTGCTGCTACATGTGAACAGGTCCCCTTTTGTTTGCTGCAGACAGACCATGTGGGAAGTCCTCCATCTTCCCAACTGACCCAGCTGAGGCCATCATAGACTACACATGTAGCTGCTTATGTGTAGTCTTAGCTGCTACACTTTAGCTGCTCCCCACTCCCTTCCCAAGCTGGCTTGCACACATACAAGCAGGTTCACCCCAGTTCAGCCATGTCTGACTCAGATTAGCAAACAGCTCAACATGGATTCAAATGCAACCTACTATTGCTGCCATCACAGTAGTGGGATGATTCATCACAGCAAAAACAAACTGAAAATTTCTCCGGGCTATAAAATGCACAGATCACTATATAGATCTTTAGACTTTTCTTAGCTTTTTAAAAATATGAATAAGTAGCACTTGAATTCAGTTTTCCTATGTTCAGGGCTGGGTAAAAGTTCTATAATCAATCTACTTGTAGCTCTACCCACTTTAGAATTGGAGAAGATACAGACCTAATTTTTCTTACAGCCTGATAGTTTTCTGTATTTTTCCACATTGAATCAAGAACTACATATAAGAAAAGTCTCTTCCACCATCCATATTTTCTCTGTATTGAAGAAAAAAAAAATCTGAGGGCTGGTCAAATAGCTCAGCAGACTAAAGTGCCTGCTTAGGCAGAGCACAGCGGTGGTGGTGCAATCCCAGTGTGCCTTGCTGGCCTCACCCCTGGGGCACACTGAGACTGTGATTGAGACTGGGCAGGGTGGAGCATCCCTATAATCCCAGCACTTGGGAGGCTGAAAACAGGATCGCTGCAGAGTCTGATCTATGTAGTGAGACCCTGTAGAACCTGTACTAAATACACAGAAAAAAAGAAAAAAATCTACCTCTTTATATAGCCCTGATTTCTCGTAAAGCTTTCCTCAATCTCATTGCTAATGACTATCCTTTTGTTCATTTATCCTATCGTCATTCATTTTACTTATCCCTTCATTTTTATCCTTTCATTTATTCTGCATATTCAATAAATATAGAGCAGGGGAGGATGTCAATTTGTAGTAGGCACAAGCATTTGTTTGCACAGATACTGTTCCAAAAAAGGTGGGAGCATTGTTAGGCCAGCAGATATAACTGGTACCATAGAATGATGGGAAAACCTGAGAGGAGAGAACCTCCCCATTTTCTTAGGCTGTCCAGGCAACCTCAGTGATGTTCTCCAGAGTTTTGGATATCTACTTGGGAAGATATTACAGAAGAATAAGCAAGAGCTGGATTCTTTCTTGACAAACCTAATTCCTAGCATCACCATGCTTCTATGATGTATGACTCAAGGTGATAGATACACAATGTTAGGGTCTAACTGGATGAAGGAGTGCCACACTCTTGGCTTCAGTAATATTTAGGTTGTGTTTTGTATCAGGCATCCTTCAGTCTTAAGAGCATAACATGACCAATTAAGTGACCAATATTTTACACTAAAATTGAGCAAAATTGGCATTTACAAGGCAAGTATGGAACACTGAGGTTCAGTGCCTCACTGAACTATTCAAAAGAAACCTGGCAGCATTGAGACCCCAAAGACTTATTGTAGGTATTGGATTATAGGCAGGTGGGCACAAGAAATGTAGGCCCAAGAGAGTAGTACCTCTCATGTATAACAGAAGAAAATGGGGTGGATAACATGATTTGTTTTCCTTGTTTATATCTCCTGGAGAGCTACTGCAGTCCCATTTCTCTAGGATGAAAGTTGAGTGACAGACCCATTTGGCTCTAAATTGAGGTTAAATAGATGCAAGAATCATATCGCATTTGAGGGAGGATCATTAAGCTCCCTCTAGGAGCTGGCTGTAGGGAATGGCTAAACCTGGAAATTGATCACATGTGCAGGGACTAGGAAAGCCAGGTCCCAGAAGAAAGAGCTCCAGAGGCAAGCCAAGAAAGTTGTTCCAGCTCTAAGAAAGCCAGGTGCTCAGGCTTGCATACAAAGTTGTTAGGCAGAGGAGTTGAAATTGACGTCAGCTTTGTGAGAGTATAAATAAAGGTACCATGATGGCTCAGCAGTTCCTTTCCTTCCAGCCAGAGAGAGGGCTCCACCTGACCTCAGCTTTCTATCTCTTATCTATTTTTCCATCCTCTCACTGTTCCCTGTCCCCCCAAATTCCAGAGCTGCACAGGATGAAGCACTTCCTGTTTGTATTTTTGCTGGGAAACAAATATTTTATCATTGTAAGATATCTTTTCTTCAGTGTCTTCTTGTGTTCCTCTGGTTAAAGTTATATTAAAAGTAATTATAGCCAAATTTATATAACCTCGCACACCACATTTGAGACCTGATTAATCTACAGCTTGTGCTAACTGGTTTGCACAGTGATACTGGGATGCCACAGACTGGGAGGAGGTAGGGAGTGCTCACTGACTAGAAAGAGAGGACTTAAGAGACAATGGAAATGATACTGGCAAACTCTGTATAACTTGGAGAGAAAGGACTGCGGCATCCCCAGAGGAGATGTAATCAGCAAAGAAGAAAAAAATCATGTTGTTTGCCTCCTTTTTATTGTGTTCTGAATTAGAAGTATGAGTGTCAACTTTCAGACATACCCAGGAAGCCAAGCTTTGAGCTGAGGCTATGCCACAGATGGCTGAGCCACTACTGCTGATGCCCTCCCCTGAGGCCTCTGGGCACACAAAAGGACTAGGAGGGCTGCCTCGGGTACAGGCAACAGAGGCCACCGAGAATGAGACGAAAATGCTTTTATCATCTTCAGTCACCACAAATAAGGCAGCTGCCATCCACAGCCTGGCTATGGTGAAGGTATAAATTTTAAATTTTCAGATGTCACTGATATATTTAATGGATGTTACTGCCAATGAATGAAGTGTTGTTTTCTAGAAGTTTCCAGGACTGTCAGGAGGAGATTAGGCAGGAAGTATTTAGCACATATTTCATGTATTTCTAGGAGTGTTAGGGTTGGGGACTGGAAACCTGCACAAAAGATAATATCCCATAAAATTTATTGCCCAAACTACTCATCAGTTATTATTTTGTACATAATAGCTAATATTTTAAGATGTTTTCAGGACTTTTATGTATACAGCAGTCCCTCGCTATTTTGCATTTCAATTTTCTTGTTTTTTTTTTTTTTTTTTTTTTTTTTTTTTTCCCCTCAAGAACTGGGGATTGAACTTGGGTCCTTGTGCTTGCCAGGCAAGCGCTTATTCCACTGAGCCATCTCCCGGGCCCCTGCATTTCAGCTTTCGAAGACTCACTGTTCTGCATGTTTTCATAAAAATAGTAGTCTAAATTATTGCAGATTTTTCACTATATGGCAGGATTTTGCAGTACCATGTAATATATGTATGTTGTTAGAATTATATAGGTTTCCAAATTTAGAAAGTGGTTAAGAACATTACAAGTGGGCTGGTGTGATAGCTCAGTGGACTAAAATGCCTGCTTAGGCAAGTTTAGGCAAGCCCAGGGACCACAGTTGGATCCCTGGCACCACATGCTGCACAACCCACCCCTGGGGAGGGCTGAGTTGGCCCGAGTCTGGGCGTCATGGTACATGCCTGTAATCCCAGCACTGGGGAGACTGAAAACAAGGGGATCACCATGACTCTGAGCTGCGTTGTGAGACCCTGCAACAATGAAATACTTAAAACATTAGAAGTGTTTTTTTAAGTGGGTGAAAGGTTTATAGGAGTGTGGGAAGGGTTTATAAAGCCTTAGAATATATATAAATGCTAAAATAAATACAACATCACTACTTTGCTGATTATCACAGGGGTGTCTGGAACATAACCTCTGCAGTAAGTGAGAGACCACTGCATTATTTAATTCATACACCAACTCTAAGAAATGGGTATCACTTTTCTGTGGTACTGAGGATTAAACCCAGATCTTTGGGTTTTTTTTTTTGTTGTTGTTGTTGTTTTGTTTTTTGTATTTAGGACAGGATGTACAGGGTCTCACTGCGTAATTTGGACTTGCAGTGATCCTCTTATTTACAGTCACCCAAGTGCTGGGATTACAGGTGCGTGCCACGCCCAGTCTAAATTGCCATCTCTGTACCCCGGGGTTGGAGTTGGTAAGACAGGCCCGGCAATCGAACTCCCAGCCCCTATGTCTGCCTAAGTGGGCGGTTTAATCTGCTGAGATATTTGGCCAGCCCATAAACCTAGATCTTTGGACTGAGTTGTATCTCCAGGTCTTTTTATCTTTCATTTTGAGGTAAGGTTTTGCTAAGTTGCTAAGTTATCCAGTCTGGGTTTGAACGCATGATCCTCGCGTCTAAACTTTCCAGAGTGTTGAAATGACAGGCATATGCAGCCTTGCCTGGCTGCGGGTACGTTTTTATCTCGGTTTCCCAAATGAAAAACTTGAGGCACAGAAAGGTTAAAAAGCTTCCCCAAGACTGTACTTGTTATGGTTGGTGGAGACAGGACCGAATGGATGACACTGTACTCCACAGTCCACACTTGCATAGTCCATACCTAGCCATGAGATTATTTTGCCCTTGTTGCATTTCAGAGTCTATACATGTGTCTGTATTTGTTTGTTTTATTTTATTTATTTATTTTTTTGTGGTACTGTGGATCAAACTCAGGACCTTGCACTTGCCAGGCAAGCACTTATGCCACTTAGCTATCTCTCCAGCCCTTATGTTTTATTTTGTTCTGTTTGAAACTGCATCTGTTCATATTGATTTGATCAACAAATTGACAGGATTTTAATCTGAATCATTATTTAGACATAACTTTTGAGCACAGATTCCAGCTACATCCCTAAACTTTTATTTTAGCAAATATAAAGACAGAAGGTGTTGACCTTTTCTTACCTCTTTTCCACGTGTTTGGTCTTGAAACGCTGCTGCTTTTCTTCTACATACGATGTGTTTAATGCTCTATGAAATCTCTGGTGGAGAAAACAGATTCAAAGGTAGTGATCATTAGAAGCACACTGATGGGGAAAAAGTACCACTTGAAATTTAATGGAGTGTCCAGTTGCTGCACAACTTGGCCTCTTTAACCTAATTTCCAGGGTTGCCTGATAGTGGATCAACACTCAGCCCTTAATCTCTATAACAAAAATTCTAAGTTGTTGTCCTACCTGGAAGAAAAGCAAAGTGATCTGGTAAAAGCTTAGAAATGAGAGAGAAAGAAGCACTGTCATAACTCATGTATAGCAAGGGTCCTTATGCAATTGCTAGTGAAGAGTCAAAATCATAAGCAAATTTCGTGGTAACCATGACAAAGAAGGGAAGCAGAATTCCTGGGAATTAAAATAATCATATTGTCATAGAACAGAGAACATCACTTGTGTGCAGTTTTCCCCAGAGATAAAAATAAGAATAGAATTTAGTTGTAACTAAATCAATGAGAGTAACATCTAAGGGAAAAATGGTTTTACATTAACAAAGCAAGAAGTGGGCAGCAAGAGGAGACAAGGAGGCAGTTGCTGTTGGCTCTCCATGCCAATGTCCTACATGGAGAAATGTGCAAACTGTTGTGCCTGAATGTTCAGAATGTCAACAGTTTTACTTTTTCTTATCAATCCATCTCTGTATAGTTGTCTGATTGGAAGAACCAAGGCCCCATGTGGCTTGTCCTTGGCACTAGGGGGCCTCAAACCTCAGAACCAGAGAAAAAGAGAACAGGAGCAAATGGAATCACTAAAGAGGGACAGGAACTTCAAACTTCTTTATTGGGTTTTAATTTTAACAAGAAAAGAATCTGCGGGACACAGACTTTTCACAGCATCTCTTCAAGTCCTCACTATTAAGTGAATTCTGATTTAAAACAGTTCTGTTGAGTCTTCTGTGAGCAGCACAGGAGGTTTCTTGGGACCAGAAGGGACACTGGGATAACATAAGAAAGTGAATTCATGGGATAGAGGGAAATCCACCTACTAACTGAAAATACCTTCGCCACCCTCATTGCCGTGGGAGTGGGTCAAGAGGAGTCTGAAAACATGACAGTTCGTCGGTCTCTATTGTTTTTTCATTTGGAATTCTGAAGCATGAGAAGATTGGTGCAAGAGACCCGAAGCACTCACCTGACTGGTGTGCAGCCAGTATTGCAGCTTGGACTTGTTTTTGATTCGTGGTAGCAGCAACCTGTACACAATGTGCTCACCAATGGTTGTCAAGATGGACAGACCGAATCCAACACACAGCAGCACAAAGAGCCCAGAGAAATGTTTGATGCCCATTTGCAAAGTCTGTGACAAAACAGGAAAGGCTGTCACTGTGGTGATCCTGGTGGCCCAGTGTTTATTTGCTCTTTTTCATTTTTAGCATGAGATCCCCTTTTCAGCCCCAAGGAAAGCTTGAGAGTGTCCCTAGCCAGGAGCTCAGTGAGTCGTACTGTTCTTTACTGGTAAAGGAATCCACCCATAGTGGCCGGTGGGATGCTGCCCAGCGCAGCCTCTGGGGGTTCCAGGCACGGTAATCACACTGTGCATAAAATCCCTGGAGTTGTCCCAAGGGCTGGGGTCTGGACAACCATGTGAGGAGAGAGAGAGAGCAAAGGAATGAATATATATTAAAATGTTACTATATTAAAACAAAATGTAATATATTGAAACACTAATATGTTTAAATAAAATTTAACATGTTAAAACATAGCCTCACTGAGGGCCAGAGAATGAGTAAATCTAATTATTACGAGTTTAAGGGGGAAAGATAATAAGATTAGTAACTGTGGATTTTGGTTTGGCAGAGAACAGAGAGATCATCTAGTTCAATACCTTCATTGTGCAGATGAGGATATACACTCATACCCAAGCAATGGTGCTTGCAATCTCATTGGTTGACCATAGTTTTGTCCCACCTCCAGCCCATCTAAGCAAGTTCCCATCTAAGCAAGTTCCCATATTCTCCACCACCACAGACCCACCTCACCGCATGGTTTTGCACTATAAAAGGCCCTGGAAGAGACAGCTTCCCATGGACTACCTGCTCAGGGTCCCACTTCTGTCCCCCCTTGGGACAGGAGTTTTCTTTCCCCCAATAAATATATTCTGCTCATAATAAAAAGTATAGTAAATTAAGTCAGCAAATGAACTTAGGCAGTGATACAAAGCACTTCATATTTATTGGTTGTCATCTTTCTTTTTTTAAAAGGATTTTTTTTTTTTTTTTTTTTGGTGGCTCAGGCTGCCGAAGGACAAGTCTGGTAAGACAGGTGGAGCTGGGGATTGAACAGCCATATGCTGTGCCTGACTGCATTTGTATAGCAGGTGCTTAAACAACTGAGCTAACTGTCAGGCCCCTGGTTGTCATCTTTCAACCAGATAAAAGTTTTGCAATGAGGGGGGCTGGGAAGATATCTCAGTAGAATAAGTGCTTGCCTGGCAAGCACAAGGGCCTGAGTTCAAACACTGTTTCTGCCAAAAAAAAGAAGTTCTGCAATGAAGTAGTTACAACTCCACCCCCATCTTATAGTTAAAAATAAAATGCTATGTTTTATTTAGCTCTTGAATGTCATGCTAAGGAACTTGATTGATATTTTTTGATGGAGGCTTTTTGTCATCACTATCATTGAGAATTATTTATTTTTTCTTTTTCATTGAGAATTATTTAGCATTTAATATGCATAGGTCACAATTCCGAATATGTAGAAACTAATGTTCATAATAATCTGTAAGATAAGGCTGATACTACCTCTTCTTTAGAGGTGAATAGTCACAAAGAAGAGCAGTAACATTTGTAAAGTTGTGGTGAGCTAGGATTCAAACCCTCAGTCTGTCTGTAGAGCCCCCACACTTCACTACTTCCTTTGTCTGATATAAGTGATATCTCATCCTCTTTAAGGAATTTTCCTTACTTTGCTCTCCCCATCTCTACCCATTCCACTCCTAGAGAGACAGCTAGTGAAAAATAGCTTATGAACTGGCTCTATATTAAGAGGTTTATCTGGGGATTAGGTCTCAGCGGCAAAAAGCTCAGAGAGTTCAGGATTTGGTGGAGCCTAGCTCATTGATTATTTTCTCAACAATAGGACTTCAGGCAGTAGCTGTGAATCAAAGACCAGCCTTAGGATCTCCAGGGAAGGAAAGACAGTTGCTGAGCAGGGGATCACAATTCCGGGAGCCTGAGAAACCAGCAAAATCAGGCAGATGACCTCAGACTACAGGCAGGAGGTCAGTCCTGGGAAACAAGGAACCCTGATCTAGGGGAAGATCTGGATGCACTGGGCCCTGAAGGCTGCACTGGCAACAGGACTCTTCCTGCAGTATCTGTACAAGTGGTAACCAACTGTATAAACTTGAGCTCTAGAAAGTATATCCAAATGTGATTGAAAATAGCCATTGGCCTATACCCACTGCAATATGAACAAGCCGTGGCTATTAGAAAGATTTAATGAACTAATTATGGCTGTGGATAAACAACAAACTGAGAAAATTCATCTTTCACTAACATTGTCAAACATTCAGTAAAACTTTTGAGCCAGTGGGCACTGTTTTCTTGTAAGTCAGTGTCAAGATGAAAAAGAACAATGCAACTTACAGTAAATCATCTTGCCTTTAAATCCATGGCTTTTCCCTCTATTCTTTTGTGCATAATAATCTCATATTCTTCAAATTGCCTCAGTAATACTTAAGCTGTATTCAGTTTATATTACTCCTTTTTAAATTTCTGAGATTCATACTCGCACACTGATAGAAGTATTTTTTTTAATTAGGCATTTTGTATATGTGTGCCAAATACCACAGTGCACCTTCATGGTGATATAATAACACCATGCGTTAAGTATTACTATCTCCATTTCACATTTGAGGAAATGGAGATGCATAAAGGTTAAGTACAGTATTCAAAAGCATACAAGCTCGTATAAGGGGGAACCAGGCTGTTGCTCCAGGACTGTGTGATGCCCAGGCCTCCACTACCTCCTGAGTGAACAAAATTTGCTGGTGTCCTTTGTTGTCTGAATGCCCACTTCCTATTCCTTGTAACAACCTGCAAAAAAGTTTTGTTCAAAAACTCAGCATCTGAATTGAAAATCCACTGTAATCTGCCTGCGAGCACCAAACAAAATGTTGAAGCTGTGTCTGAGTCTGAGTGATAAGATGCGCAGCTGCTGTTGTAATTCAGCCGCTCTTCCCCGAGGAACATGTTCTTGAAATATGTTTGGTGTTAGATATATGCATCTACTCCACATTATCAAATGAAAATGTTTTTTTTCCCTAATAAAGTGGAAATTGGTCAATTTGACATTCATTGTTGATCAGAGGAAGAAGAAGAGAAATAAACATTCAATATCAAGTCTATAAAATTAATTTAGTCATGATAGACAAAATGACAATTATAGTTGCAAGTGGTATGAGGAAAAACACATTGAAAAATGCATAACCTTCATGCTGTTGAGAGCTGTATAAATGACAGCAAAAACGAATGCAAAGAAGCATAAGTTTTGAGGGGGTTTGCACCCATTTCTTCATCTGCAGTTTCATTTGACCTCTCACAGTCACACACTTCTAGTCTCCAGTGTCAGAGGTTGTCCCACGATTTAGCAGTCATGGTTCATTTAAGTCCTTCAAGGTTCTCCAGCCCACCTCATTACACTTAAGCAATTTAATTAGTAAGCAACCAATCAAAAAATGGTCTTGTTTATTTTTCTCAGTGATTTTTTATTTTATTTTATTTATTTGTGGAACCGGGGATTGAACTCAGACCTTTGTGCTTCCCAGAGAAGCGCTCATTCTACTGAGCCATCTCCCCGGCCCCTGCTCAGTGATTTTTGCAACATGCTTAACACTTCATTTTTGTTAAACTAAGTTAATAAATATTCATTGTACCATGGAGGGAAAACCTAGTTTGCATCTGGTATCATATTTTCCATGATGTACCCAGACCTACACACCAAAGCACTAGAACATTGGTATTTTAAATGCTTAACATTATGCAGAAATTTTTGTTGAAATGTTATATAGAAAAACACATGCGTCCTGCATGGGACATTACCTATGTATAGGTGTCAAAGTGTGTTTTAGTGCCATTTAGGGAAACTGAGGTTGTTCTTGGATGAAGCAGGAAGAATTTGTTGTTTTTCCCACTTAAAATAATGGAAATTTACTGACCAGTATTTCTAAGAGCAGACTAGATTCAGACAAAAGGAGACACCTGTGCTATCAAATGTATGGCTTCCACTCAGATCATTGAAGCTTCAGTAAAATGTAAAGGTGAAAAATGCCAATTTTCTTCCTGCCCACCCCCTCTTTTTTTTTTCATTTTGCTTAGATGTGGACACATGAAACAGCTAGCTGGATAAATGACTGGTTCTCAAACTTCCAACAAGAAATGTGATTAAAATATTTCACTTGTTGTTTGCTGTAGATGTTACCAATAAAGTCCTATGGAACTAATGCTCCTTAAAGCCAAATCCACATTTCCCGACATAAGGCAGCAGTTCAATTTTTTTGGTTCTCTATATAAACTGGTTTCAATTTTTGTTCTCTGTTTCAGTCTTGGACCTAGTTAATCACACTTTTGCTGCTCTCTTTCCCCAGTCACCTGACAAGTCCTTTCAGCTGTTGTTTACTGCTACAGTGTCAAACCCAAGTAAACTTTCACTTTATTAATGTCTGTAGGTTGGACAGTTGATTGCTGTATCCCCATTTATAGACTTCCTTCTATTCGTTTTGAGATACCCCTCTCTATTCTACCTCAGCCTCTTTCACTGTTCCTCCTCTTCTTTCTGATGTGACTATGAGCATGCTCTCAATTCCTTGCTACACTCACTTTTTCATCCAGATTTCTGGCTCTAAACACTACCTATATGCAAAGACTCCAAGAATTGGGAACTGTCATTCTTTAATTCCATACTCAGATTTTCTACTTGGGTATGTAATACATATCACAGACTTAATATATCTGAAGCAAACTTTAATTTTTTCCCTGAAATCTGTCTTTTACATACTTTTTTTTTTTTAAAACCAACTCCATTCTTTCAATATTTCAAAGCAAATTCTCTGAAGTCATCTTTGACTTCTCTTTTGTTAACATCAAGAAGTTTTAATTTCTGCTAACATGGCAGACCTGACCTTTGCAGTAGATCTAGAATCTAATAACTTGTCACCACCTTGCGTCAACCACCATGGTCCAAGCCATCATCACTTCTTACCTAGGTTATTGAAATTACTTTCTAATTATTTTCCATGACTCTTTCAGTTTGTTTTCTACTTAACAGCAAGAATAACCATCTAAAAACATTATGTCACTCCTGTGTTCAAGGACCCTTGCTGATTTTCCATCTCATATAGAGTAAATTTTGGTCTTACATGGGACTGTGAGGCAAAGAATGGGTGGAGCCTAGTTGATGAAGGCTTCTTTGGTGGTGGAGGAGGGCAGTGCCTTCTTATTCCTTTACAGAAGGCCATATAATAGTAGACTGTCTAGTATCTTGGAGACAGCAGTATGGTAAGAAAGCAAAAAAACTCCATTAGCATATATGGTAACATATTGTTACTAGCTTCTGTAGCCACAGAGCATAATAGTTGCTGTTACCATTTAATCTAAATAATTTCATCTGCTTCTCAAGATGAGCTGCATATGGGAAGATGATTTAAAACTGTCTTGCCCATGGAGATGGCGAGATAACTCAGCAGACTAAAGTGCCTTCTTAGGCAAGCACAGGGACTGCAGTTGGATCCCTAGCACCACATGCTGTGCCAGCCCCACCCCCAGGATGGGCTAAGCTGGCCAGAGTCTGGGTGTGGTGGCATACCCCTGTAGTACCAGCCCTGAGGAGGCTGAAAGGAGGATCACCACAAGTCTGAGTTGTGTAATGAGATCCTGTAACAATGAAATACATTAAAAATAAATACATAAATAAAACTATCTTGCCTAATAATTTGTTTGCAAAGTAGAAAAGAGGTAGAAGCTGTTTGTTCTTTGATCAGCAAATTGGCTCTGTGGGCCTGTTTCCTCTTTTGTGAAAAGTGATGCTTGATCTGATCACATTAAAAATACTATCAGAAGTAATTTGAGACAGGCAAACCTTGGAGCTCTACAAATAAGAGGAACACAATTGGCACAGACAAAGCTCAGAATTCAGAATCAGAAAGCCTGGGAAGAATCCTTGATTTGCCACTTACCAGACGTGTGACCTTGAAGAAGATTCCAGTCTCTCCATAGCGTCATCTATAAGGCTTTATGAAAAATTGTAATGACTCCATAAATGTTATCTATTATCATCATCCTAGGGAGTGATGTGGATTTTTTTTTTTTTTTTTGGCAACTGACAATTAACTGAGGGGGTTGGGGGAAATCAAAGTATTAAGTTGGAAGAAAATGTGACTCATATCCCCAAATATCTAATCAGATCTTTTTAGTGCTAAAACCAGAAACAAGCTCTCAAAGTTTTGCTACAAAGACTTGGGAAGATACATTAGGGTAGATTGAGCAACTGGCTTCCTATGATTCTAGCCACTTCAGAAGCTGAATGTTTTACTTATCCATGTTAAATTTGAATACATAATCTAACATATTTCAAGCTCCGTGTCATAATTCAAAATTTCCATATCCTAATGTGCATATTGCAACCATAAATAATGTCTTTTTAAAAGAGGTCTTCTTGGCTAGCTTGAGGCACTCAATTGCCTTATGTAAAATTTCCTCCACAAAGTAAACCAGAACTAGAGAATTTTTCTAAGGTTTCTTGAGTTCTTAAGTTCAGAAGCCTATTGGCCCCTCAGGCGTGACAAGAACATTAACATTGTTCCTGGTGTTTTTTTGTTTTTTTTTTTTTTGTTTTTTTTTGTGCTAGTCTAGGATTATACAAAAGTCCAGTTAATTTTAGAATGGATGTAACCAAATAGTGTTTCTACCTTACTACATTCCTATTTTTGTTTCATGTGTTTACCTGTGTCAAACTACCTGATAGTTTTTAATTTTTTTGCTTTTATCTTAAAGAAAAAAGAAAAGTGAACTATAAAAACAATGGTACAAAATTTCCAAACAAGATTGTAGGGGAGTAGTAGTGGTTAATACATTGTGTATTAATATCTTCAAAGTAGCTATTCATGTTGATAGTTTTTAACATATAGACTGTCTAAATTTTCATAAACTAAGGTTCAAAGAAATGAGATTCCTGGCGAGGAGCAACTGGCTCCTACTCTGTGTCATTACATATTGATCTTGCAGAAGGGGAGGCAGGGGTAAAGCAGAACTTGGAGACATACTTTGCCTTTCTCTCCCTCTGTGAAATGTTTCCAGCTCAGGCCAGCAGCTCCTGGGCAGCCCCTCCCTTAAGAATGCAGATTTGGGGTTTCTGACTGAGGCCCTGGCTTTTCTTGCTGGTAAGGTAGACACTTCAAGCAGTTCTGTCATGGGAATCTCTTCTCTTAGAGAGGCAATAGTATGTACCATCACCGACAGGGCTAAGCAGTGGGGTTATAAACAAGCTTCCCAGCATCCCAACATGCTGAGAGGCTCAAGATTTGTGCTGAAGAGTAAGATAGGGTTAGCTGCTAGGATAACTGACTGCCTTTGTTTTGCCTCTGTATCTCTACTGGCTTGATGCCACAAATCGAATAAAAGGACTTCTCCTTAGTTCAGAGTTCAGCCTGGTTTTGAGCATTTCTAGTAGCTGGGACAGTATGCCGTTACAGAGGCCTGGAAATTCCTTCTGGTCTCTCTAGTTTCTTGGAAATCCCACAACAGGAGAAAGGGAATTAGTAGAATTAATGTATCCTAGGCACATTACATATTTTATCTTTTTGAATCCTGAAAGTGACCCTGGGCTGGACCTTTTTTTAAATAAGAGGAAAGACACAAAAGTTGCTTCTGTTCATACAACTAATTGCAACTATGATGATGAGCTGGTTGTAACTAATCAAAATCCAATATTTTTGTCTCTTTCAACCATATTACCTGACAATGGAATTCTGACTCTTAGTATAGGACAGAGAGTGTTTACTGAATATTAATCCATTGCTTTGGAACTTTATAGGAATCAAAGGAACAAGCATTCCTATTTTTTGTACTTCCTCAGTAAACTATTAAAAATATAGCAGTGTGCCTTAATAAATGGGTGTCCTGTCAGTGATTAAATTTGTGGATTTTTCTTCTTTTGCATTTTTATTCTTCTGGTTAAGTTGCCAGCTTCTTCAGATCTCATAAAAATTCATCTTTGTTGAAAAAGACCACCAGAGTGCTGTCTTTTGTAAGTACAAAAGAGTACGTGTTATTAAGTATTTTGACACCCTTAGGTACTTTATATGGAGTCATTCTACCCATGTGCTGGGATGGTTCTTGGCCCTGCTCTTGTGAGAATAGTTTGTATTCTAAGATTTGAGAGCAATGGGGAGTGACTTCAGAGAGTTGGTAATGCTGAAGGTGGGAGCAGGAGATGCATTCCCTCGTAAAGTGACACTCCAAAGAAAACAAAGCCACTGTAGTGTCTATTTTCCATGATATACTATTCCCACCATGACTATTTCAAGCTACTGACATGACATAGTGAACTAGGGAGAGCATCTGATCTCACCTAGAAACAAAAGGCTGCAGTACACATACTTGGATACAGCATTAGGAGGAAATCTAGGCTAAATAATCTATTAGGGAAAAAACTCTTAAGGATATGAAAGCGCTGTTTCTCTGGTAGATCTCAGGTCTGATTTTCAAAACCAAGTTCAGGTACTATGGCTAGTATTTGCCTCTGCTATGGAGACATGGTTGGCGATCTCTACCTTTCTAAGCACAGACTACTCCAACACTACTTTAGCATTGTTACAGTCAGTGGCTTAAGTGAATAGATTTACTGCAGGACACGTAATTTCTAGGATTGTTTTGTAAAATTCAATCAAAAAATCAGATGCAGAAGAGTGCAAGAGATCTGTCTGGAGCCCAAGAATCTGGCAGAGGGCCTGGATCTCATGGCAATGTCCCGCCTGAGTTCAGCTGAGGGCCTGCATCTCACCTTCTCTTGGCACTGTTGCATGCCAGTGGGTACCAAGGATGTGCACTGGGAAGCCCCTCAGTCTGGTGGTGAAAACTCAAAAGTATGCTGGCATGGTGAAAGGTCTGTGCTAGATGGCTGAAGGATCTGCACTGGAGCCAGGAAGCTATGTTCAAGACAAAAGTTAAAGAAAACCAGAGAGCCCCCAAAGATAATAGCAGCCATCCAGTCCACACAGCAAGGACAGTAGCTCCTCCTCGAATGACAACAGCTGGATTTGTATCAGGAACAACCACAACAAGCTTCTCCAGGAAATTCATCAGCATTCTGTCTTCCCCTCCTACTCTCCTTTTACATCATGTTGGCTCAATCCTCAGGTGGATCTTCCACACCCAGAAGCACACTAACTCAGTTCAGCTGGGCATCCCAGATTGCCCTCTAGTTAATGCCCCACAAGCATGGGGTAGAGTGTATGGAAGCCTGAACCTTTTCTTTCTGTAACTATGGGAAAGCCATTTTGTATGTGTCCCACTTACTTCAATTAAGGTGGGCCTGAATGCTGGAGGCAAATACTTTCTGAGAAGGACATGCCCTGTTTGCCTGGAAGACTGGAATGGACAGCCAACTCTGAATATCCCCTGCCCCTGGAGCTGGTAGGTAGGTTGGGCACTTGGTCCAAGTTTATCACTATTTTACATGAGTCCCAAGGCTTGCCTTTTTTTTTTTTTGGTAGAACCAGGGATTGAACTCAGTCCCTTAAACTTGCCAGGGAAGTGCTTATTCTACTGAGCCATCTCTCCGGTCCCCCCAAGGCTAGTTTCTGATAAAGACTAAAGCAATGAGACAGGAGGAGCTGGACTGGACTTCCACTTCACAAATAAACTCGTGGAATTTTGGGTGCATCATGGGGAGTGGAGCTGTAGCATGATATGGGGAAAACAGGCTGTTGTTGTATAGCTAGTGATTAAAAGATACTCAGGGTGAGAACTGCATTTGTCCCTGTTGCTACAACAGAAAGTTAATAATCTGTCCAAGATGTCTGAATATGAGTAAATGAGAACAGTGAAAACAGTTCACCTGACACCCAATGTAAATTACCTAAATTCTTCCCACCTACAACACCACAAGAAAGAAAAGCAAAGACATGAATTTTCTTATTCTTGAGCTTTTCAAGTTCTTGTTGACATTTTATATTTTGGTCACTGAATCAACAACAAAAAATTTATTAAGCCATTTTTCTTTTCTTTCGTCACAAAACTCCTTCATTTTTCTCTTCTGCTTAGGGTGATACTCTGAGTCATTGAGAGAATAATTACTGACACAGCCTTGGTGACAAAGCCAAAGTTTCAAAAAGAGAAGCGGTTTCGGGTAGTAGAGAAATAGTTGCTGAATGCCTTAAGTAGAGATGAAAGAGAGGGAAGAAAGAAAGGTTATTGGATGAAGCTATTACAGAAAGGGCTTACAAAGTCAGTACCAATTTCTTGTGCACCTCTAGGCCTCTGACCAGAGCACTGAATTCCTCGAAGGATAATTTCCCATCACCATCCTTATCCAAAATGATGATGGTTTTGTCCACCATCTGCTGCAGCTGCCAGTTCTTGAGGTTTTCTCCTACCATCATCTTCAGCACTTGGAAGAGCTCCCCGTTGGAAATGTAGCCATCTCTGTCGATGTCGTAGATGCTAAAGGCGAACCTCAGCTTCTGCTCCTCATTGCCTCTGACGCTGAATTGGGAGATCCCCAAGATGAACTCGTTGAAGTCCACCTCTCCATTGCCATCTGTGTCGAAAACGTCTATTACTCGCTTCGCCAAAGGGTTGTTCCGTAACTCGGGCAGGGACATAAGCTCCTCCACGCTCAGAGTGCCCGATTTGTCCACGTCCAGTTTCTTGAAACTTCTGATTAGCCTTTTAATTTCATCTTGGTCAAAGGGAGAGCATATCTCTTTTGGGTAACTCGCCTCGTTTCCCATTCCGGCTGCGGAGCGACAGCTCACAGGGTGGAAGAAGGGAGCCTGGCAGTTGAACCCCTCTCATGGCTGGGGGCTCGCGACCAGCAGCACTGGTGTAGCTCAGGGCAGGTGGGGGACAGTGAGCAGAAGGAGGAGGAGGGGAGGGGTAGATGGAAGGTGGAGATGGGGGAAGGGCGAGCGAGAGGCAGACAGCTGGATTACACCTTTCTCTTCCTTCTCTCACACCCTTTGTAGGTTTCAGCCCCAGCTCCCCTTGAACTTATTTTCTCACCCCCCCGCCTCCACCATCGTAGAGAAAGTAAAACTCGAATGAGCACGGACCACATCTGTGTTATTCACGGCAGTAGCCTGACATACAGTGTGTGCTTCATAAAGGTTGAAACTCAGGACTCCCGACGCTTCCTTTGCAGGCCTCCTGGATGTGTATGTTTCAGGCTGTGGACTTGGAGTCTTTGAAGAGACCACCAGGAGTCACACAGGATTTCTTATATGGATCCCCTACAGCCACTAACATTCCTGAGAGATACAAACAATGCTGCGTTCCAGGCAAGTTTTTCAAGAAGAAAAGCCTAAAAGTGAACTGTCTGCTGTTCTATTACTTTGATCCCAATTTTTGTTGCCTTCCACCTGGTGGCTGTCCTGCAGAGCAGCGGCAGCTGCAGGAGGCCCAGAAAGTCCTTTTTGTGTGTATAGAGAATGGCAGTGGCCTCTACTTTCCCCTTTATCTCAGTTAGGTCTTTTTGTTGAAAATTAATCTTCTAGGTCTTCTCAGACTGCTTCTTTCTTTTGGAACAGCACATCATTTACTCTAAATGCATAAGAAGTAAATGTGGTCCGGGAGCACTGTAGTCCAAAGGGGCTTGTGAGCCACCTTAGGCTACTAAATCATACTCAAGGGGCTAAGGCTCCTTCACTTTAAAAGATACTGGAATAGTCTGTATTCTTCACTTTAGTCAGATCAGTCTTAGGGTAACCACTGAAACTGACACAACTAAGTAAGCTACTGGGTACCATACCATTAAGAATAGCAGTTTTAATGTTCTATAGTAAAATGATTTTGGATTCATACACAATGATTTATTAATTTTTTAAAAAAAGCTGATCATGAATATTAAATAAAACTTTGTTTACCAGTTAAATTGCAATATTAGAGCAGGAACATGCTTTCTTTTACTTAATTGCTTGCTTTATAAATAGGGTATAGGGCCAGCTAAATAGCTCAGTGAATTGAAGTGCCTGCAAGCAGGCACAGGGGCTGGGGGTTTGATCCCCTGGCCTACTATGCCAGCCCCACCCCTGGGGTATGCTGAGATGGCAATTGAGACTGGGTGTGGTGTTGTGTACCTGTAATCTCAGCTCTTGGGAGGCTGTAAACAGGCAGATCACTATGAGTCTGATCTAGTAGTGAGATCCTGAACACCTTGTAGACCCTTCCGAAAAAAAAAAAAAAAAAAAAAAGTATAAACCTACTATATTTGCAATGTTAAAAGCATCACCTTAATTTGTGTTACAGGATGCCTGGAATCAGTGTCTGAATGCTGCCAGCTATTCACCTGTATGCTCGAAGACCTCTATAAATAGGCAGGCCCTGGAAAAATTAGAGGTGGCAGTGGTAGAACAGCATTATATTCTTGCATGCATATGGACATGCAGGATGGCTTAGTATCACTCAACTTATGTTGCTGGCCAAATCTTCTGTCTTAAATCAGAGTGTAGTCTAGATTCTTGGCTTCAGGTAAGAGAACATACCTCTAAAAAGCTTAGGAAAAAAGGTTTGTTGGAAGAATTTCACATAATTGAAAGATATTCAGCAAAAAGAAATATATTTATTGCAGTTGCTACAATAGGAAGTTAATAATCTATAACAGATGTCTGAATACAAGTAAATCATCAGAAGGGACTGTTCTAGTTAGATACCCACAAATCCCAAGAACAGGCTTCGATTGGTCTCACTTGGGTTGTGTTTCTATTCTTCAGTTATCAGACATTCTCTATATTGTAGGGCAAGTTTTATTTGAATCTTATGGCTAGAGTTGGGGTGTAGCGTGGAAATTAGGTAGGAAGAGCAGGTACCAAAGGAAGCATATGCTTTTCCCTGTAAAGAATGATGTTGGGTAGAAGAAGCAATTACTGGGCATCACACATATTCATTAATGCTGATTCTAGGGGCTGGAGAGATGGCTCAGTGGTCTAAAGCACCTACTTAGAATAAGCTTAGCAAAAGCATCAGGGACCGCGGTTCAATCCCCCAGCACCACATGCCAGCCAGCCCGCCCCCCGGTGGGCTGA